TAGTAAGTATACGAAGAATTATATTTTCAGCTGGTTTTTGCTTTTTTCCTCAACCAATAAATTTTGCCTTATCAGTCTTTTATTAGTGCGGGAATAGGCTTTCCCATGATCGGTTCCCATTATCATATATTTAAGTGTTGTGAGTAAATACTTACCATTCGTAATTCATAACCCATCAGCTAGTAGAAATCTCTAATCGTGTATTACTCGCCCACACCAATAACAGAGGACCAATGCTAACGATGATAGAAATAAAACAATGATGACAACAAAAGCATTACACTGTGCAACTAGAATTCCTCAGTGATAGAAATTGAGAGTGCAAAAAGAAATGACGAGTCAAGGCTAAATAATCTCTCTGTCTAATGACTAAATAAATACATAATATTTTATAACAGAACCAAGATGGAGACACAGGTTGAATTCATTCTCTCTCTATACAAATCTGTCTTTCTCTGACCAATTCTCATAATTGCCACTACCCATAAGGAATGTACAAGTAGGATTTTCACCACTTATTAAGTACTTGAAATATTACAAAGAACTGATTATCTATTTTGATTTATCTTTCGTTAACCATAGGAAAGGAAACATTGACACTACAAACCATTAAAAACCCACAAACATCACAACTGAATTCAATCATCATAGAGCGACAGAAAACACCAATCAGCTTCATTACGAATATGATTTCAGTGTCATTTTTACCAGCGGATCTCAGAAAACATGTATTGTGACAGCTTCATTCACAAGATATACACCACTCTGTAACAATGGTAATTGTTTTCACTTTTACACTTTATTAACTCTACTTCCTACATTTTATATTGAAGTAGTCTCGTTAAAAATGTATTTGACAGAAGTGTAATAGTCCGTGATCAATTCATCACTCATATTTTAATTGAATATGCATCAGAAGTTCTTCACTTATTGACACAAACAGTTAAATGCTACTCATGAATGCGGTTTTGGTTACAATGACTTATGATTAGCATAGATGGTAACAGGAAATTTTGAATCTTGCATATTCTGTGATTCAACAGTTGTCAACTGAAGGGAAGGAATTCGACATGTATTTATCTGGACCAAGAAATTTTCATCCACCAGTCCATATGATTGGTTGATGGGTGAGCGAATTCATTCATCGTTTGACAGTACTCCTCTGAATAGTAGTCGTTTGATAATCAGCTAATCGAATACAATATTTATTGTTATATCTCACTTCTTGTAATGTCATAATACGTTTGTTATTGTCACATTCTCGTTCGATAAGGTGAACATCTTCTTTGAGTTATATCACACCACATTTAATTACACTCCTTCGAGTCAATAGTGAATGCGTTTAATTGCCTTTGTTGAATAGGTGTGTGCAGTGAAATCACGTGTGCATAGTTAAACAGTCAGATATCAGGTAACTGTCTATCTCTTCGAATGACTTGTATACATTGAGAATATCTTTGTCACACGTTTCAATGTGATTTGAGGATTGAGGGTATTCACGTAAATTGTATTCAGTTGTTGAGGCGTGTATTTCACTGTCATAAAATATATGACTCAATGGTTTCAGTGTAGAGCACTAAAATAGTGATAAGTTATGTATTCCACTCTCTCTGAGAGACATGAGTAGTACCTCTGGTGGTATCGGAAGTGATCACTGCTAAAGGTCTAAATACTAGGACAAAAAGCTTTCGGATGCTTCTGCATTTTCACCGGCTTTGCAAGAGATGTCAGTCCATGATGAAAATCATCCTGAAAAAAAAATTCTTACAAAGCGAAAGCTAATTTAAATTTTCCACTTTTATCATATCCACTACGAGTTTCAGTGTAACAAGTATGATCGTTTTTCTTCACTAGGTAATATGGTTTATATCATTATCTCAAACTCAGGACTCAGCTTCTTTCAGGACATTCGTAACAACTGTAATCTGGATGTTTGTAATATGATTTGATACTAATATTCGTGAAGTTATTCGACTTGGTTTGTTGTAAAGCAAAGTCAATTGAAAGATAGATATTGATAGTGAATCCACGCAAATATTTAGAAATACCATCTGCTATCCCAATGCCGTAATTTAAGCTTCAATGAATCTTAGGAATAAAATGATAGAAACTTTGGTGTATAAATAAAAACAAGTGATATATATGGTAGGTAACCAGTAGTGCTGTCTCCTCTTTCATTCACTTCCTATAACTGTTCCTACCAGCAATCACACAGTTGAGTCACTTTTTATTACTTTTTCTTTGTATACATTTCCTAATAAACTTCAACTGTATTTCATTTGTTGATGCGTATTCATCACCGTGAATCAAATCAATTCCTTGGGATTCGAGCAAACGAGAAATTCAGCGAAGATATCTTTTTTCGTTAACTCATTCTCCATAACTGTACAGTCTCAATGTACATAGTTTTTTAAAAGACTATATTGAATGGTAATGATAGGTAGTAGCTAGTAGTGAAATCTAGGATGCGAATTTCGTCCTATTTGAGACTCGTCAGAATTGTTTAATTATACCTAGCAACAAAGATCAAGTTGATTGTAGATTAAAAATTCACAAGTGTGTTGCAAGGTGAAAATTAATCACAAAAGAGCATAACCGGACAAAATATGGAGTTGGATAATATGTAAAAATAATTCTCAAGAAACAGCATGATCATGGAGAGCGTGGAAACAAAATGAAAACGATATTGAATTGTTAAACTATGTCATAAAATACAACAAAATTGTGAATGATAAGAGAGGGATACATGTTGATATATTGTTAACAATTAATACTAAGTCTAATGTACCAGCAAAGGTTGAACATGTTTCTCTCGTGCACGTAATTTCCGTTTCTCCATGCATATGATTACAGCTTCGGCATTGTAGGGAAGGAAAAAGTGTACCATTTCAGGAAGATTTCTTTCTGCCTTGTAGATGACTTTGAACGCTGAATCGGTTGTGATGGTGTGACTAGTGTTGACAAGATTTTCAATTATTTTACTTCTGATGGATCCATTTGAACTAGTTTGGAAAGAATGCCCATCAAACAACCTATCTACTTGGTTCTACGTGAGTAAGTGAAGTGATAAACACATATGGAAGTGATCAAAAGCTGAAGTTCATCCTTTGAATTACCACGAAACAGTGGACGACTGAAGAATATTATGCTTAACGTTGAAGTAAAGAAAGTTTACTTTAGTAAGTTTAAAATTCTTCTTTTCAAGATATCATCAACGAGGTCACCTTTAGAGCCAAGATTCAAGAATGAAATCTTTTTTAAAACTGAAATGGGTATCTCTATTTGTGGTTTAGGTCTAATATTTTTTGGACACAAATCGTGGTGGATATACGTTTTCAGCCAGAACCCTTTTGAGAAACGCGTGTTCTTCTCCTAAGCTATCAGTGCTGCAGATTCTTCAAATACGGTGAGCAAAGTACACAATAAGTGTTCTTTTTTGACTTATAGGTACCCAACTATTGAAACTCAACACCTGATCATTCCTGAAGATAAATCTTCTCAATATCTGATCATCTCGTCTAGGCAACTGTTAAATACTTGTAAAACAGTCATAGTCATTAAAATAAATTAAGAGGATATCACCAACATACTTTTTGTACACCAAAAACTCGCCAATTATTGGCTTTAGACTTCTGTTTACCAAGATGGATATGAAACAATCTCTCAATAGCGGACCAAGAGCAGAATTCATCTATTTGATGGTAGATGACATCGTTGAACGTTGTCAGTGCATCTGAGCAGCAGTTCTTTTCTAATAGATGTCGCGTTTTTCTTAACACTTAGGACAAAAAACGTTACTAAGTCTTTCAGCGTTTTGTTAATAATCGAGATTTTCATTTCACAACTTGGTTATCAACATTATTATTGTAAGTATGAGATGATATATTCTGATATGAATATTAGGCAATGTTATTAGACCAAAAGCTACTGGAAATTCAGATTTCACTGAAGCCAGTCTAGTTTGTAAAGTTTAAATCTTGATATTTAATATATCTTAGCCTGGAAAATCATCTTCTGCACAATTTGTATACTAACCAAATTATCCCCTTTTTCAGAAAACTCAACATAAACATGAATTGGTTATAGGTTGTTTACCGATTTCCCCGATAGTGTGCTATACAGTGTTTTGGTGTTAAATGCTGGTAAATGCTAAATCCCGATTTACAGCTCCATCTGTTGTTATCCTGTAAACATTGAGTATACAATATACAATCTTGTATGTCAGTAATGATTTGAACCGTCCGGTGATAAGAACTGACTTCTTCATCAAGCGATACAGATTGAAATCTCTTAAATAAAATGATATTTCTTAAGGTTGTATGCAATCATATACAAAAATCAAATCATGTACAGCTTTGTATCAAGCAATCTAGAAGATCCAAGCAATGCCTATTTGATCATAGTCTTCAAGCTTACTGATTGACTTTTCTTACTTCATCTTGATTAGAAAACACGCAGCAATTGAATCAATATTTTCATTATAAAATTCATATTTCTGAAAACATTTCTACTATTTACTGTAACTTTGGACAGTTAGGTGTGGAAGATTCAGGTGGCGAGGCAATATAACTTTTGAAAACATCTACATCAGATATAACCATTTATATATGGGCACTTGAAGGAGATCACAAAATGAAATAACTGTAAAAACTATGCACGGAATACAAAAGCAAATCAAGACAGACATCTGATACAGCAAGTAAATTAACAGGAACAGAAAGAAATTCTATATAAAGACATCATGGTAACGAAATACACTTTTGAAGCTATTTTGGTAATAACTAAACGATATTATGTCTCTCGGACAGAAACGACACATAGAATTGTAATGAAAATAATAGTAATACGGATTCCAGTAATAATAATGGTAGTAATAATGATAATGATAGTAATAATACTAATAATAATAGTGTTATCTGGAAACGCTTAACTGTGCGAAACGTAAATGAATAAATGATTATCCTCTTGACTTTAATAGCCCATGAGATAGTGAATCTGATCTATTTGACACCGAATTTTTGAAGTTCATGATTAAGATTTTCAAAGATCTTATCCACTGTGCCAGATGCATCGATCTGTATAATAGAATATGAAATAAGATGGGAGTAAAATGAAATTAGATAAATCTTTTTGATCAACTTAATGCTTCTTATCCTACCAAAACATATGACGAAGCAGTTTTTCTCTGTATTAGAAGACTGTCTTGAGTAATGTGATGCATAAAACTTAATGTATTGGCTCTTCAGACAATAACTTCTAACGTTTATGTATCATTCAGTCACTGACTATTCGGTCAAAAAAATGCTTGGTGTAAAAGTAGAATTTAGGTACTGTTGGATTTTATCAATTCATATCGTTTATTTATTGGATATTTCACCCAGTGAACAGCGTTATTTACTGGATGACGTTCTGAAAATCTGTTTTGAACATAATCTAACAATATCCAGCTAAAAAATAATTTTCAGTGCATACATCTTGGTGAATAACAGTGGGATTTAGAATGTCCTACTTCGTCCTACTTCAAACTCATCAGCTGAACGTACTTGTACCTCAGTGAGGGATGTTTTATCCACTGAGACTCGAATCTTATATCTGTTGCTAAAATATATGCCAGCCGGTTAGTATCCACTGACAAAAATGAATATAGAAACTTGCATACTATATTACCCAGCATAGTTTAATGAGGTGAATGTTTTGTTTTCGAAAAGAAAACAACCAGGCTATCTGCTCTATACATACAAGTGTTAACAAAAATATATCTATGGAATATATTGGATGAGTATTTTATCGGAATTATAAAGCACTAGCTTATAAGTTACTAGGTGGAGGAAGCATATTAAACATTCTGAGCAGTTTTCATCCAAAGAAATGAAAATACTATAGATTTTGTCAATGATTTCACCTGAAATATAAATAATCTGGGCTATTTCAACGAGATAATATATGGATAGTTGTGTGAATATGAAAGTCATCCAATACTTCTAGGTCTATAACTACAATAACAATAAAAAGGTAGGTAATTTTTTCTCGGAAAAGTTCTATCAACTTGTATTTTTTATTATCAAGAAACAGTCTGGATTCGTAATTTCAGACTACGTTACAATAAACTACTAGTTATATTTTAAAAACATCCTATGCTAAACAAAAGCATATGTTATGTTGACAGTTTTGTTAGAGTAGGGAGATTTTGCAGCATTATTGAAGCGAATATATATATTGTAGGATCATATATAAATACTGAATATTGACTTTCATACTAGGTGATGATTAAAAGTGAAATGAAAATTTCGACCATGATCGGACTCGAATCAGTGACCACCGGAGTTTCCGGTCCAATGTTTTACTAGCTATCACAGACACTGCATATATGCCGAAAATTTGATTTCCATGCAAATTTATTATTATAAGAGATGCTATTTACACTTATACTTTCACTGACATTTAACAAACTTAATATTATACTAATGTTTCATAATGTAGCTTATTGAAAGTAAAATCAGGATTATACTTGTATACATACTCGACTAACCAGGATAGACTTGGTTTACAGCCTGTGACTTTATTGGTATATAATTTTTTTCTGTAATTTGAAATCATCAACTTGTAAACTACTTTAATTAAGCTAGACGACATAGTAGTTAAGCGGATTAATAATCATTTCATTAATAAATCAAGAATCTTCATGTAAATGTTATTTGAACCAAACTGGTGAACAAACCGCACAAAGCACATACCTTCCAAAAGCATCTCTCAGCACTATGCAGCATGGTTATCGAGGGGAGAAAGTAAATCAATTAACAGTTCAATTCTTGAACATTTGGTCAACTCTGGACATATAGCTTGACCAGAATTATGCTTCAGCGTCATTTATAGAGTCAAATGGAATAGTGCAAAAGGAGTACGCCTTCGATAGTTGTGAACAGCGCAAGCACTAACAATTCATCAATTGAAAACTGATCTCTACGAGCAAAAAAAGTATGTTCGATCTCTTATCTTATCATGGTCTTAAAACTCTAACATTTTTCGGTTCCATTATAATCCGTTAGTTTATTATTATCACTTTTATTATGACCCTCGTCTCATTCTTCACCTCCTTTATTTATCTATCTTACCTCTATATACTTCTATCTATCTATTAAGTGGACACTCAATATTCGCATTTCTCATCTGCCAACAATTTTCACCTTGTCAAACGCCTTGCCTTCCTCGTTATTTCTACTATCTAGAAGATTATTAAGCAACTACTTTACATTCTTGATTCTGGCTTTTTACCACTAGCTACCTTAACGATGCAATTATGCACTATTGTTTAATAACAATTTAATAATTCTCATTGCAACATCAAGAACAAGATATTCAGCGAAGAGACTCTTTACAACGAATTTATTTTCAAGCTGTACAATCGTATATATATGATATTTGAAAAATTATATCCCGTGTTAAAGATAAGCTTTCTCGTTTGGTCGCCTCTACGTGCATCTATTAGTTCACCTGTTCTTGTAGAGCAAGATATATCAATTGTGGCTAGAAAATGCTTTCTACACGTATACGAGAACATGCTCCAGCTTAATTTTATAAAGCTGAGAGAAAGTCTGTTAGCAGTTTGATTCTAGAACTTTTGATTGATTTCCATCAGTCAACAAACCCAGACAATAACTTTAAAATTATTTCAGATGAATGGGGATTTTTAATTTAGAGGTAGTATTCATCATGGACTGACATCAGTTGGGGAACTATCAAAAATCTGAGAGCATTGGACAGCACTAGGTTGAAACAGCTGTCCAGTGCTCTCAGATTTTCGATGGTTCCCTAACTGATGTCAGTCTATGATGACTACTACCTCTAAATTTAAAATTATTTATCAAGTCCGCCCAAACCTCCCACGTTTTCTTCGTTTTTAACTCCATAAAACAGCGGAGGCTTTAGCTATTCATGAACTAAAACCTGATCTGTGTGTACAGAAGAAGTATGTGCAGTCACTGTTTTTATCATGACCACAACATTTTCCCAGGCCATTAGCTTTCCCCTCCCCGCCTTTGTTAATTTAAACTTCGTATTCTTCCCTTATCACTATTATTATTATTGTTATTATTATTGACTTCAATTTGATTAGTTCCCGACGTTATTTCAATTAATTGTCTTAATTGCCTTTTTAGAAAACACTGACTTCATCTTGACCAACTTGTCTAATCCTATTACATAATGTTTATTTGACTTACCACTTTCATCAATTATTTCACCCCTTCTGAGTTATATGAACCATTCCGTATATTACGTAATCTATTTCGTTATCATTCACACTTCAATTGTTATCATAATCATAAATACGTTCATAATTCCCATTGTGATATCGAAAACAAGATATTCAGCGAAGAGGGACTCTTTTCAACGAATTTATTCTCAAGCTATACATTCGTATATATATAGTCGCAACTTTTAACAAAACATTTTCATTTTATTCCAACTAACTTGTCTCACTTATATTACCTAATCCTTTGATTTCAAGTTGTTATTCAACGTAGACTGACATCAGTTGGAGGAACAAAGGAAACCCGGGAGCAATGAACAGTTGTTTCGTCCTAGTATGAAACTCCTCAGCAGTGCGTGCCCACGACCCTGCCGCACCAGGGGTTGAACTCGTGACCTTCAGGTTACGCAGACAGCGCGTTACAATTGAGCCACTGGGTCAGAATCCAATGGTCCATATTTCCAACTTTTGTTGGCTCATGATATAGCGCAACCACCACCCAATGTCATCGTTGAGTTACTGTCCTCACGATGAATAACAACTTAAAATATTTCCAAATCTCTACAACTCCCTCAAAATTCAATAATCCTTTGATTGTTTATTAGTGTTCTCACCCTTTTTAATCTCTACGCACTTTATAAACGATTTGGAAATCTTACATAACTCCGTTTTGTCATCATTCGACCTTTACGTTATCTTCTAGCAACATTATTATTATAACAACCATTGTTATTACTATTTATTGACATGCTTGTTATTCTCCGTTGTTTTGTTGGGTTGAATTGTTCGACCTCCTGGATTCTTCTGCTAGCCACAACCAACCAAGTAACCATTATTGTTGTTTCAACCCCCCATTATTTCAGTTAAATCTTCCTCATGGATTACAGTCTTTAAATATCATATGTATACGAATGTACAGCTTGAGAATAAATTCGTTGAAAAGAGTCATCTTCGCTGAATATCTTGTTCTTGATGTTTAATAATATACTGTTATATGCTTGTGATATGTATAAATATGATTGTACAGCTTTAGAAAATGATATGGTCAGAAGAGAAAAATTAATCGATTGAAGTGATTTCATGAAATTGGTTTATACGATAAATAATTTTGATAAAATGGCTTAGTTGCTTTTCATTGAAAAATCAATGAATTTTTCATCTACTTCAATTAAATGTCTTATTATTATCAGTATTTGAAGCATATATATTTTAGGTGTTCAAAGGTAGACTAGTTTGAAGATATCCACAACGAAAGATTAAAGTTAGGGCATCAGTAATATTTTTGAGTAATACTTATATCAAATAGTTAAAATAATAGTAAATAAAGAGAGAAATTTTTATCGTGCTTACAGTGATCACTTTATTTTGTTTCTTGTAGTATTCAATTACAGGTTTTGTTAATTCATTGAAAGTATGAAAACGTTTTAAAATTGTCTCTTCATTGTCATCAACTCGACCACTTGTTTCTGCTCTTTTCAATAAACGTTGACGCATTACATCTTCACTCACATCAAAATTAATTACGCATAAACAAGAACAAATCTAGAAGGAATAAAAACAGATAAATACACCAAGGTTGTCAATAACATGACATAACTGTTTAATGTTGTGTATAACAACTTACACGGAAACAGCTACTGCAGTATGCATAATACAATCTCACTAAGTATAATCTGATTACCAGTAAAGTAATATATAATTCTATTCTGGTTGACTTATTAGATGCATATCACACAGTTGAACAGTAATTTTTCCTGGATTACCTTTCGGACACAATTTATTGTCCACAGTCAACATTAGGATAACTCCATAACTTTGAGACATAGTTTATGTACTTCTAATTTTCCCGCCTCCTTCATGATATGCGTGAAATAGGATTTTTCAGATATCCGGAACAGATGTTGAGTCATTCCTGTTCCATGTGTTCGGTGTTAATTCGATGAGAACAGACCCTATTATTAATCTCTCCTTCTAATCCGCTTTGTAGGTTAAAAGATCCTATTAATCCATTTAGACAGAATAATTCATTCTACCAAATCCCTTGAGACGATTGTCAAGTCAGATACTTAGATCAAAGTGGTCTATCAGCATCAGTAAAGCTATCCAAGCACAAAACCTAGTTCAGTCATAACTGGTAGATGCTAGTCAGATAAGGAATCTAGAAAAATGCTCAACCATGGCTATCCATGCAATTACACACAACCGTACAATTAGATGCGATAGAGTGACAATCTTGGAAACTAACATAGTGGGGTGGAGAAACAGATTGTTTACTCCATCTTTGTTTACCCAAACAACACCAGACACATGCAATAGGAATGAATGAGTACTTGTTCTTGATATATGGAAAATCATACTACCGATTTCACGAAGAAGGTTACAAAATTAGAATCACACTAATTGTCTCTAAGTGGTGTCGTTATCTTGATATAACTACAGACAATTAGTTGTGCCTGAAACGTAATCTAGTAAATAATACTGTTCCACCTTATGAAACAGTTACTAAATCTACTAAAATAGAATTACCTCCTGCCACAGTGCCCAAGGTTTACTTTTATTTAAAGCATTAAGTACTATATACCTAGTTAATAACTTTCAGTACTAGAAACTCATAAACTAACAAAAAACTCTGTAAAATAGATAACTTAGACATGCATAACCGATTTGTCTACTTTTGAAAAGCTGGATATCAGCCTCGTTGGACTGCTAGAAAAGCTATGAAGTAAAATATCTAACATCTCTGTTGTAAGCTTATAGATGGAAGTGCCTGTTTTATGTTATTGATGGATAGTGGCTAGCAGTAGAATCCAGTAAGCCTGTTTCGTCCTGCTTGGGACTCATCATCTGAATGTATATGCTTCCCAGTGGGTGTTGTTCCCAGCGGGACTCAAACTCGGGACCGACCGCTTTAAACGCCAGAACGTTACCAACCAGACCATCGAGCCGCTATAGTCACTTCTTGTGTGAATGATATAGTTTTAGTGTTATTGCTTGTGCCCGTTTTTCCTTAAATTGTGTAACTCATGGAAAAATATTTAAAATTTCGCAATGCAACAATTAAGGAACTGGGTAAAATGTTTTTTGTCAAGATAAAGCTACTGGAGGTACAAATTTACTTTGGTAAATCATAAACTGCTACAACCTTATTGAAATAAAATACACCACCAGTATCAGTGGAATGATTTTATGACTACGGAGTATTTATTATTTATGAGTCTGGACTACATAAGGTGGGTTCTTCATTCCTTGAGAAAATGAAGCAAAAACTGTCAAACATCTTCATGAACTCCATTTATGAATTCATTGAAGACGTTTTCTTACACTTACTCTCTGTAATAGTTGAAAGGATATAATACCAAATGAAGTTAAACAATGAAAAACATTTGTGTTCATACTGGAAGGAGTTTCAGTTGAAGATAATTTTTTAATATATAAACCAGTACAAATGAGACTTAATCAGACTGCCGAAACTATCAGTCCCAGTTTTTAGTAGTGACAATTAACTATACAAATCAATAGCATTCAACATTTGACTGGCTAAAATTCGGAAACTTGTTTATGCTTGTTTTATGATAATGACTGAGCAAACTTGAAATGGAATAATGTTCAGAAAACACTTTCTGAGTAAAGTTTTCAAAGTATTACTCAAGGTTTAAAACATTCCTATTTTCCTTATGAAATAGTCCCTTTTAGGAATTTTGATAGCGTAATTAGAAGACGAAGTCTATGGGAACAATGTGATGTATTTGCGCAATACATTTCGAACAATCTGATCCCACACACACTTATCAAGTCAATATATATTAATACGAAGATTTAGAGGATAAATACAACAATTAACATAATTGGGGATCAACATTAAAAAAGACGAGAACGAAAAAGTAGAGTGACATAGTTGATCCTTATCTTGGTAAGAAAACAAAGTTTACCAGAGTAGGTGTAGTGTGTACGAACAAATTGTTTTTGTACACATAAAAGGTGGTTTAAATTTGTGTATGGCTATGGCTTCCTCAAATCTCAGTATACACCCCTGACTGTTTCTATATAAAACTTTGAAAGCTGTTTGAGCACTAATTTTGTGACCTGTTTCTATGATACGTTTTTGTCCAATCCAATACAAGCGAGTTCTGGAAGAATCCCTGTTGAATAGGACCTATTGTATCAGTATATCAGATATGATTGATGAAGATATCAAATTACTGACCAAAACACCCATAGAAAATAGATATCTGTTGGAGTTTATAAACCGTTGTACAGATCAAGTAGCAGCATAGCCAACTCTATACACAATTCCTAAGAAAAGCGCCCATATCACTCTACCATACAAAGGGGAGCTGAATAGTATCATTTTGAGATGTAGGCTGAAATCAGCCATTAAGAAAATATATTACGCAGCTAACCCTATCATTGTGGAAAAATCAAAACACATACTTCACCAAAAACCTAAACACTGCATCAGTGATTATATCACATCCCATTATGTTTACCAATTTACATATGTGTGTGTGGTCACACATACATAGGGAGGAGTATTTGAGTTATGCAGTTGAGGGTGGGAGAACACGTGCCTAAATGGCTTCAAAAACAAATGGAGTGTGAAACAGTGATAAACACTGGTGGGAGACGACCCTCTTCATCTATAGCTAAACATATCACAGAAACAGGTCACGAAGTTAATGTTCAAACAGATTTCAAAGTTTTATATAGAAACAGTCAGGGATGCATACTGAGATTTGAGGGAGCCATAGCCATACCCAAATTTAAACTACCTTTATATGTTCAAATCAATTTGTTCTTACACTACACCTATCTTGGTAAACTTTGTTTTTTTACACAGATTAGGATCAACTATGTCACTTCCTGAGGTCTACTTTCCTGAAGATATCTTTTATTACAAGATTTCTTTTCAAACTCTACATGGAATTATTATTTATTTATTTACCTGTTATTCTCCTCTGTTTTATTGGATCGAACTGTACGACCTCTATTGGCATATGGGCTCCTATGCGGATGCCTCGATATTACCCGAATGTTAATTATGGTAATTTGGTTGAATATGGCTAGTAGAGGAATCCAGAACACGAGGTTTCATCCTACCTGTGAATCGTCAACTGGATGTACCTGCACCCCAGTAAGTGATGTCCCCACCGAAACTCGAACCTCTTACCCAACGCTTCAAACGCCACAGATCGTCTTGGATTCCTCTGCTAGCCTTAACCAAACAACTTACCGTAATTAACATTCAGGTAATATTGAAGCATCCGCATACGAGCCAATATGTCAACAGAGGTAGTACAGTTCGATCCAAAAAAACAACGGAGAATTACAAGTATATCAATAAATACCAATAAGTAATACGCGTTGCACAAGAGGTTGGTATAGCACCTCTGTGGCATAGTAGATAACGCCTTGGCATTTGAAGCTATAACTATGAGGTTCGAGTTTCAGTGGGAACAACATCACTCACTGGGGTCTAGGGATGTTCAGCTGACGAGCCCCAAATAGGACGAAATGGGCGTCCTGGATCCCTTTGCTAGCCACAACCAACTAAATCATCTACATGACATGTTGATTATCATGGTAACTTGGCACAAGTTATTTAACTGCACATCACACCTAAGTTGTATCGATTTTGTTTTAGTGACTAGTATGACGATATCCATCTACTTCCTGTTTATTTAAAAAAAAATTATAATCAGACATTAAAACAACTTAGCTGTATTGGCGTTCACTAATCAAAGACAGACAACCATCAGGAAACTACACAACATGGGATAATTATACCTCATCGAAATTTATAACTATCCTTAAGATCATCGAGTGATTGGTGTGTTTCAGATAGGATCATAGAGTATGATCTTTGCAAACATTCAAAGTGCATACTCCTTCAAAAACTCTTAATCATTCTCCAATTACAAACAACTATGACTGAAAACAGATTTACCAAGGTCAGGCAAGCTGTTTATTTGAATATTTATTTGCGTATTTCCAATTTCTAATAACTATCATAAAACATTAATCACACTTTATTTTGAAATTAACAATCTAAAAAAACCTTCAATTTCTTAAAAATTTGTGAAATTTCATTGTTTATTAGAACTTTAAAGTTATAAGATGGTAGGAGGTTTTCAGTTTACCTTTTCTGTCCCATGTAGAATATTTAGATAAACGTTTCTTGCAAAGAAAAAAAGTTTTGAAATGAATAAAACTTCTAAAAATTATTGTAATGAAGACAATAAATTCTAACTATTGATATAACCATGAGTTAACACACACATACGCTGGACCGATGAAAACAGCCTAGAAGATTTCGATTTCGGCAACGATGATGATTTATGTCTAATGTCTTGTCGCACAAACTCGAAAATCTACAGGCGAAAACTAACAAGTTGACAGAAGAGGTGATGCAGGGCAGCGAAAACGGGACTTCAAGTGAATGTAGAGAAGACAGAGGTGATGAAGATACCCAACCAATAACAACATCAACAACAAGAGGCATCAATCATCATTAACGGGAGAAACCTAAAGGAAGTGGCCTCCTT